GGTGGTAAGAACTACAACCTTCCTCAGCAAGTCATCCTCACTCATGAGTCAGTGGCCAACAACTCACAGGTTTACTCAAATTCTCCTATTCCCCCCCCATTTCATTTATGATTAAATGAATCAGAAATAACCATGATTATCTCAGACTTCTTTTATATATATATATATATATATATATAAAATAGCATATACTACACATAAAATGTTCTTTCCAAACAACATTTTTTGCTTCTCCCTCATGGACTGAAAGCACAGGCACTTTAAAAACAGCTACTGCATATGAAATTATTCCTCCACTGTTAACTCATCTGCAGATAAAACTGCTTTTGATATCATCTAACATGCAAGAAATTATGTGGTCACAGTTTTAAGTTTCCAGCCTCTTCTTGTAGCTCATTCATAATCAAAAGCATATCTGTAGTGGCACCTTTTTAAAGCACCTTTGGCGTGGAAAAGTTAATATAACTTGACTAATCCATACCGACAAACTGCAATGTATTATAACAGAACCCACATACAGGGCTTCAGGACAAACTAAGTATCAGCCTCATCTCTCTTCTGAGTTGACTGGGTTCAGATAAAATCAAGTCTAGATTTCAGATCCCTACAGGAAATGCACCAGAGCCTTCTGGAAACAAAGTTTATTGTTATTACATTTATGATTAAGTTTGAGATGTTCTACTTCACAAGGAATGCAACAAAATGTAACTCCAATTGAGACTCAACAGCTGCTAGGTCACAGAAAAAGGCAAAGAATGGAAGAAATCTTAAGCTATGAATGGCCTAAGTAAACCTTTGCATATATGAAAAGAAAATCCCAGAACTTCAAGGTTCAAAATAGCCTAAGCCTGATATTTGAGACCACAGTGAAAAATCAGCACCTACACCAATAATGGCTATAATGGAACAGATAAGTGATTATATTTATTGGTAATAACTTTCCAAGAAAGCTAATCCATGAAATTACACTGGTTATATGGGAGAATTCCCATCTTCCAGACACCCCTTCTCTGTCAATACTGCATTTCAGATAGCATACAAGCAGGAACAAGAGTTGAAGAATACCAATCTGAGACAAAACTCTACACTGGATAACCAAGCACATACATCTTTTTTTAATTTAAATTAATTCCTCCTCTTCCTTCCCCCCACCCCGTAAAAAAAAATAAAATCAAAACAATCAAAACAATCTACTATTAATGACGTGAACAGCACAGCTGAACTGTAATAATATACCTATCTAGTTTGATGAACAGCACTTGAACTTGTAATGAACTTATATAGGCTTAACTTTCTAACATCGACAAACAGGAGAGGAATTGATAGGTTTCCTAATTGATTAGACACCTTTCTTGAAACAGGAATTCATTTTAATCCATTTAGGAAAGAATCTGCTTTTCAAAGCAGCCCCAGGTTCTGCCCAGGAACCCTACCAGACCTTTCACATGGAGCATGTGGGCTGTGCCCAGCAGCCAGGGAACGCTACTGTGGCTGTTTTGAGCTGTCCACAGGACAAACCTGCCTCTGACTTCATGAAAAGAATTAGCCAAATGCACTTTCCCTGCAGCAGAGCATACAGTGCAACTGGATGTATGGCACAAGAGGAGGTATTAAAAGAAACATCATATTAGTTTAAGCCTATTTTATGGTTTACCTCATCCTTTCTCATTTACAGGTGTTCTTTCTCTCGCCATCTTTGTGAATGTATTTTCATTTTCAGTTTTACCCAAGACTCATCACCCAACATGCACAGACTTTTGAAGTCCTGATCAACAGTTAGTCCAGGTAATCTGTTGCCTTAAAATTTAATTTCTGATACTTTATTTTTTTTAACTGAGAGTTACGAACAATGGGATTTTTCAGAGATGGACGATCCATCTTTGTACCAATACAGTATCTTAATACTGCAATACCCTTTGTAATCACAAGCAAGTAAAATCACTCACTTCAAAACCACACAGATCAACATCCTCCTTAAGCCTGAATTAAAAAAACTGCACATCAAATTGGTCTGGGAGTGGCAACGTTACATGAGTGGTTTAAATGTGAATCAATTTAAGGACATAGAAATCTCTCTTAGGATACTGGGAAGAAACATAGCTCCAAGGTAAGACTGAGCTTTCTGTATGCACACCAACTCACTAAACTTAAGCTCCAGTAGGCCCAGACTGCAGTTGTAACAGATGGTGGATAAACACTGAACTAGAATGGAAGAGGATGGGAACATCACAAAACATCATTAGAATCATAGAATAGAATCAACTAGGTTAGAAAGTCATTGAAAGAGAGAAAAATGAAAAAGGCAGATACATTCAGCATGTTCCTTGCTATTTGTATGTTTTAGAAGTAGCAGAAAGTAAATATTTACAGACAGTAGTCCTGCACAGGTCAGAATTTTTATCTGTAACTTTTACAGTAGAGAGACAAGGTAACACATTCACTTAATAGCTTCTTATCTGAAACACTGATTCAGATTTGACTTGAGAACATAAATGACTTGAAGAGTTCAAGACTGGCATCCAGGAAACGCTTGTTTGCATTCTGAAACCACTGTCTGGTTGTAAGTCTGTTCTCAAGATTGTCCTGTGTTGCAGTGCACCTGCATGAGGCACAGATCCCCTCCAGCTTAAACAACTGCTAAAATCTTAAATTTGAGTAGCTTAGCACGCTAGAACTCCAAATAGTACTTTTGACCATGCAAGTAAACCTTCATTAAAGCCGTTTTTTAGGCAAATGTAAAAGAGGAATAAAATATTTCACCAAAACTTTGGCTGAGAGCTCCAAGAGTGAAATCCCAGTATTAAGAACATAATAAAGACAAAAATAAAAAGAAAATACTGTTCTGTAATACAGAAGATTTTTTTTTCATTTACTTTTAGGCACTTAACAGTAGATGAAGCAGAGTCCGCTTCCCCTCCCCATGAGCATCTCTCACTCATGCTGTAACTGAGAAATTAAATAACTTATAAGATGCTCTTAGAGAACCACAAGAACCGTGGAAGGGCACTACAGGGGGGGAATTGAAAGGAAGCTTTAGAGCCTGTTCCTACTTTTATCACAGTTTTTGAAAGAGTTTTCTAGGTGCCTTTAGAGCACAACAAAACACATGTATGCCCAGGAAAAACAAGTAAAATGAATGGTTGCAGGAAATAAAGTATATTTAAAATAAATCAGCAGCAGTGTAGGAACGTCAATATACTCTGGTTTTGTGCAGGTAATTCTGACCTGGAGAGTTACTTTTAATTGATTGTTACAATAACTAACAAGCTAGAGAGAAGTATCACTTGTGGAAGGAAACACTTGTAATATCCTCTCCACCCCTTAAAAAACACTCCTAGAAGAAAGAAGGTTCCATGGTCTTTCCTATGTTTCGGTAACAAGTTTAGTTATTTTAGTAACCAATATCAAACAGTATATTTCAAATAGACAAATTATACTGCATATAAAGCACAGTTGAACTTTTTTCCTTAGCAGCCTATACTATATCACAAAGAAAAATGATGTCAATAAAAATTAAGCAAAAAGGGTTCCTGTAGTTGGCTTATTTCCTCTCAATTTAGCAGCCTTTGGGATAAGCACAAAGGTCTTTCATGCCTCAACATAAGACACTAGGTTTCAGCTAACTAGAAATCCGCTTCAGATATTACGTACTTCTTTTCCAAATGTAAAGGTTGTTTAGTTAATCAGGAATAACAAAATTCTGCAGAATATAATTCCAGTGCAAAACTGCAACAGATCTGCACAGTCCTCGTGTGCAGTGAGATAACACTGTATGTCCACTTATTCAGGCATTTATGCTATGCCTATGGTCATCTTACAGTAGTAATGGGATTTTTTGTAATAGCACTGGGGTTTTTTCCCCTCAAATCATATTGCCTAGGATAAAAATCCCTACCTGGGCTCTAGCAATTCATAACTACAGTGGCTCTACCTAAAAATACTGCATAATACAAGAATGCTGCCACAAAAGGAAGTCTTCAGAATGAGACACCCCCTTCTCATTGTAATAAGTTGTCTTAGGTCATATCAATATTTACAGTCATAAAAAAGTAATACGCTTGTTAAAACTGTATCTGTAAAACAAGAAGAATCCGTTTTTGGATAATACGTTGTTCAGACTAAATACTTATTTACTTGAGCCTGTCTGACACTAACAGCCCATACATCCATCTAGAATCTTGTCAAACTTCATTGCACTTGATACCCACAGATTTTTAAGTACAGAAAGACCAGTAAGTACAAAGTTCTTTACCATCAAGTCAGAATAATTCTAGAAAAAGCCACTTCCATTGTGCCCTCCAACAGAGATGACAGAAGCTGGGGATGTTTACAGGTCCTATATGGATAATTCAGCATCTGCATCAGCAACAGCTCCTCACTGCTGACAACCTCAACGCGGGGCTGGATGGAGCAAGCAGCCGCGACGCACCTCCAACACTGCTCGGACAGCAAGACATCTTCAGGAACTAGCGCACTCCTGGCCGAGCATCCAAGTGGCCGATTTTGAAGATCTGGCCCTTTTTTATCATCATTATTATTTTGTTTCAACTTGCACTTCTCCTACCTACAGGACAAGGATGAATGGCCAACACACCGATGCCCTGGGATTTCTCCAAAAACTTCCCTTCAAGGGCCATCCCTCACGGCTGCCTCAGGTCCCCTCCGGACCTTCTCGCACACAAACAGCGCAAACGGAGAACAAACCCAGGGGGCACGGGGCACCGGGCACCCCCGCTCCAGCCCGCACCTGATCCGCCCACCTCCCCCATCCCCGGCGGCTCCCTCACGGAACCCCCCCCCCCGGCTCCAGCACCCTGCCCCCCCGGGGACGAGAGCGGTTCTCTCCCCGGTGAGGAGGGAGGAGGAAGGGATGGCCGTGGCCCCCGCCTCTTCCCCCTCCTCCTCCTCCTCCTCCTCCTCACAGCGGAGGCGCTAGGCCCCGCCGCGCCCCCGAGCTTCGCCGCCCCCCCGCGCCGCCCCTCCGGGCCCTCTGCCCTTACCGACGGCGCGGCGCTGGGGCGGCCCGGGCGGCAGGCTCTGGTGGGGCCGGACGGTCGCGGCGTCTCACCTCAACCTCAGCGCCACCGCGACCGCCATCTTGCCTCCCCTCCCCCGGCTCGGTGCGCTCCGCCCCCTCGCGCCAGGTCCTGGCAGCTACTGAACAAACGGCGGAGCCACGGCTCGGTGGTTGCTACCGACCGCGGGAGCTCGTTCTTTCTTCCAGCCATGCCGGTCTGCGTTGGTGCCCAGGCAGCGTCAGGCCGCGAGAAGCCGCCGGCGAGCCAGCGATAAGAGGGCGGGCTGGTTTGCTCCTTCCAGGACCCGCTGGCCGGTGCAGCGGCGAAGGGTTCCCTCCCCTTCCCCTCAGAGGGGCTGGGGGGAGGCGCGGGGGCTGGAGGCGCCGCCATGAGGCGAGCGCGGGGCCCGTCGGCGCTGAGGCGGGCAGGTCCCTCCAGCCCGGAGTGGGGCGCAAGGGACACCGCGGAGCCGGTAGGCCGCGGCCGTGCGAATGAATGGAGTCTCAGGACCCGGGGACAGGCACCTGGACGGGACCCCGAGCGAAGCCTCAGGGGCGTCCGGCCCCGCTGCGCCCTTCCCGCCTCTCGGTCTGAAGCACCTCAGCGGGGCTCCCGCGCGTCCCGGTCGCCGAGCCTGTGCCGCTGGCGACGGGTGACTCCAGAATAATGTGAGAGGTTTAAAATCGCAGATTCATTTTTATTCCCACGAATGAGGGGTATGTGAATTGTTCCCTGCTTTTTCAGTGCATTTCGAATCTGCATGGCATTTTACCTGCTAATATCTCAGGTATTCTAAAATCACAACTGCATCTCTTACCTGTTTTACTATGGTGAAAAAGAGCATTAGGCAAGATTAAATTACCTCACGGGTACAGTTTCCATTAAATATGAGAAGTCATATCCCACATTTGCAGGATGTGTGCCCACACATTTATTCAGATTAATAAAGCAGGGGCTCATCCTGTGGCAAATGGGATTACTTATGAAACATACGTTGTATTAAGTATGTAGTTACTACAGCAGCCGAGATCCACTCTTATGTAGTGCTACGTTAAGGTGACGTGACACATCTCCAAAGACTTCACGTTAAAGATTTGCAGTCTTTAATCCCAGCACGTGCCGGTGGCTGCCTCTCTCCACTTGGAAGTTAAAAGGTGTCCAAATAAAAGTCTGTGAAGACAAATCAGGCATTTATCTTGTGAGCTCTCAGCTGCTCTTAAGATCCTGAACTTCTCTGCATCATTTTCGCCATTTGATTCTACAAACCCACCCAACTGGCATACGCATTGCCTTCGATATTGGCCGCTTGTCTGGAAAAGTGAAGTTTTCAAGCCACAGTGTATCCAATTGCCATTTTTTCATGTTTATCTAACTATTTCCTGTCTCTTTTTGCTCTGCAACCTTCTCCCATGGTTGACTTCACTTCCAAGATGTATCCAAACATTTTTTTTTCACCCTTACAGCCAGGCTTAGCACAGCCAGATCTGCCGATAGCAGAACGTGCCTGAAGATAAGCTCCTCCTGCCCTGCTTTTGAGGCTGCGTCTCTTCCACAGCAGCACAGCGCAAGGATCAGAGGTACCACACGCTGAAAAGCTCAGCTTTTATCACTAGTAGCTATTATTTCTGTGCGGCTGACGCGCTGCAGGGTCCGGGCAACGGCAGTTCTCCCCAGTGGAACCGGCCCTGCTCGAACCGCGTTGCCAGGCCCAGCAAGGGCAGAACACCAAAAGACTTCCCGCTTCCGCCCCTCGTCCCGGGCAGCCCTGCAATGATAGAACCGGGGCACGTTTCCGCAGTAGAGGCCAAGCGGCCCCGCCCCGAGGCGGGGAGAAGAGGCGGAGTGCTGAAGGGGGGAGGCCCTTTTGAAGGCCGGAACCTTTGAGTCGCATCTTCCGTTTTTGGCCGGAGCAGCGCGGCGTGGGGCGCTATGGCAGCGGGGCCCTGGGGCTGGGGGCCGGTGGTGGCGGTGCTGGTGCTGTTCGCGCTGCTGCTCGGTGGCGCGCTCCGCTTACGGCGCCTTGCCGTGGCCGGCGGGGCTTGCGCCGACCTGAGGGGAAGGGCGGGTGGCGTCCGTGCGCTGCTAGTGACGGCGCACCCTGATGACGAAGCGATGTTCTTCGCCCCTACGGTGCTCAGCTTGGGCAGGGCCGGTGCCCGCGCCGCGGTGCTGTGCTGCTCCGCAGGTGAGCGGGGAAACGCGCCGGGAGCGGCGGGGCACCGGCCAAGGTGGAGGCCGGGCTTCCTGCCTTGACGTCATGAGAAGGCTGCCATGATGTCTTCCCTTGCTGGTCTGGCGCTGTATGTTTGGGCTGTACCTTGGGGTCACCCGCTGCCTGGATGCAGGCGTGTGATGCCAGTGCTGTGCTGAACCTCACGGCCCTTTAGGTCTGTGCTGCCATCACCGCATGGCAGAAGCTGTGGCTGCCCTATCGCTGGCAGTGTTCAAGGCCAGGTTGGACAGGGCTTGGAGCAACCTTGTCTAGTGGAAGGTGGCCCTGCCCGAGGCAGGGAGTTGGAACTGTGGGAGTTTTAAGGTCTTTTCTAACCCAAACTAGTTTGTGATTCTATGGTATCCATAGAATCATGGTGGAGAAGGTCATGTGTCATCCACCTGCGGTTTGATATCATGGCTCCAGCTTGTGATGTGGTGTAGTAACATCCCGCGCTTCCTGGAGAGCTGCCACAGGTGGGCAGCTTTAGTCAGAATGTTACTTTCAGCAGAGTATCAGCAGTGACATCTTCCTCTACACCTGAGCCTCACGCAGAGGTTTCACAACTCAAGCTTAGGTACTTTCAAACTGTGCAGAAAAGTCAGTATGTTATACAAAGGTGCTGTTCAGCACGGCTTTTTGGCATCTCTGATTCCATCATCTTGCAGATGACTTACTTTGTTGATCCAGTTTTAATATAATGATATATTCGCTAGAACTCATCTAAAAGTTAGTAAGTTGTGTGATGCTCTAATAATGGAAAAATAGCCCTGAAAGGAGCCTGAGGGCATTCTGTCTGTCAGTCAATCTGACGCAGCACCGACGTCTCCTCAAGTGCTGCAGACAAACATCTTGTTTGTTCTTCAGAACTTACAGGGAGGTTCCTCAGCCTGTGTGGGCCAAGTAAGTAAGGCATTAGCTTTTCTTCAAATCACTTTTCCCTGAAGTGAAATCACTTATCTCCCCCAGACTAAACAACCCTATTTCTTGCAATCCTTCCTCATATATAAGGTTTTCTAAGCCTCTTATCATTGTCATTGCTGTCCTTTGGACTCTTCTGGTTGGTTCACAGCTTTGAAGTGTTGCAATAAAAAACTAGCAGTACTCCTGCTGAGGCCTTTCTGTGGCTGAATGGAATGGGAAGATTCTTACTTACCCAGGACAGTTTTTCACTGCATGTAGCAGTCTTATGTTCTTCTTGTGATCTGCTAGGGCTCCAGATTATTTATTTTTTTTCTGCAGAACAGATACCTAATCAGTTATTCCATTGTTCAGCTTTTTGTGCCTAAGAAACAATGTTATTTTAATTGATCTTTCACACCATACTGCTGTACCAGAAATTGTGAGCCTGCTATGAAAAGTAAAGGTACTGTTTTGATGCTTGTTGAGAGTACTGTCTTGGGCTTACAAACATTTACGTCTTGTTCTGATAGCAACTTACATTTGGGAAAAGGGCCCTCTGAGGTTTTGAAAGCTCCAGCTAGTTCCCTGACAACTTTCCTGTTCTTTATTTTCAAAGCTTTCTAGGTGAGAAGACAGGGATTAAGCTATTGTTGAAGTTCTGTGGTGTCATGGATTTACTGTACGTCCTATTCAAGATTTAGTGCAGAGCTTTCAGTTGTCTTTTCTGAGGGACAAAGGTCTGTGGATCCCATTTGGCTTTTTCACGGCTACGGAGAGATTACTGAAGTGCAACTCTGTGATTTCAGTGTGGGGCACTAATACGCTGCTGCTATTAGAGAACTTTCCAAAGACATGTGGTGCTTCTGTTTATTTTGTTGAATTTTCTTTTATTCCTGATTCAGCACTGTGAAGCTTTTAAGTGTGTTTGAAATTGCCTTCTATGTACTCTCTTGCATATCTCTGTAACAAAGCTAGCAGCCCATATAGGGAAGTACATTCATTGAGCTCATAGATTTTTCCATGCCTCTAATTAGTTTTTGGGGTGATTCAGATGGTTCATCCTCTCGTTGGTGTGATTGATGATAAGTGCATTGATCAAAGACTGCAAATTGTAACACTGAAATAAAATCATTACTTAGAAACCATCATACTTGCAGTTTTCAGATGTCAATCAAAACTACTTAGAAATGAATTAGAGTTGCAGCACCATGGAAAAAAAAAAACCAGTCTTTTACATGCTGAATAATCTTCGATTGAAATAATTACTCATTCTAAATGTGCTTTGCTCTCTGTAGTAACTGACTATTGTGAGTGCTCCATGGATGAGGTCCAGCAGCATCAGCTGGTTTTGTTCTCAATAGCTTCCCATTTTTTCATGTTAGCATTCTTCTATTCCTGATGTCCTGATACATTTCTCAAGCTGTGGAACACAGATACGTTCCCTGAGTTCAGTAGAAGTGAGAGATTTTGAGAGCAGGGGTACTATTTGGATAAAACATCACCTGCACTCAGCTTTCACACTGCATTGCAGCAAAAGATATGTTATCTTAAATCACTACTATCATTGTAAAAATTCAAGCAGTAAGTCTGCCGTGCTCAGTAATCTATCCAGTGAAGGTGCACACACTTTTAATTTGCTGAAGCTGGAACCTGCAATCTAAGCTGCAGGCTACAGAGCTGGCGTGTTCCTCAGCAAACCCACAGATAAACATTGCCATAGACTTCTAAAACCATTCACTCAGAGTCTGCAGGAAGAGGTTGGGTTTTTATTTTCTAGTTACTCTCTTTCTTTGAACATTTGACAAAGCTTGCTAGTGATGGATCAGATTGCAACACTGCTTGAGAGAAATGCTGTATTTGGATGACTCACACCCACAACAATAAAAAGTTACAGTGCAATTCAAGACTTGAATCATACATTAATTCTCATCTGTATTTTGTTCATTTTATTGCTTCAAAGTTAAAAATGGATTGCGAGCACTGCCCCACACAGGGCAGCATTCTGGAAGGGGCCATCACAGCTCTGGCATGGACTTTGCATGGCTGATGCCAAGAAAAAATAAGGGACTGTTAGAGCAAGGTAAGAAGAAAATAATTCAGTGAAGAAGGAGGCGATGTATAAAGATCATGAATCCCATTTCCCTGCTAGTTGTTGAGCTCAATCTGTTATAATTTTTCCCAAATGCCTTATCCAAATTAGGTTTCCTGTGTTTTGGTTTTCTAAGTTCTTTGCAATCTTACCATTTTAGTTTCTTCCTGAATTTCCTCTGTGAATGATGCTGAGAAAACTTTGTCTTAAACCAGAGATTGTTATGATGGAATTCCTCCTTTCCTCAAGTCTTTTTGGTTCTATCACTGTATTCTATTGCAGTGTCATAATGTTGTATGACAACTACTGCTCATAAGAAGTGGTCCAGACTATTGTAAGCTTCAGTTACTTAAAGACCACAGCATGGGTCAGGCTTCCTGTCTGTTAATCTCAACAGTTACCCTGAGCTAAGCTGGGTGTTGCTCAGGTAAAAGGGGTGGGGTTTGTTCCCTGCAATTTATCTCTTGCTCTTTTATTTCATGTGTGATGCTTACACTTAAAGCCTTGAGAAAGAAAAGAGGAATTCTTTCCAAGCCAACCTAAACTAAGTTTGACGGTGTTGCTGTGTTTTCTACTTTCAGGGAATTACTACAATCAAGGAGAGATTCGTAAGAAAGAATTGGAAGAGAGTTGTGTGCTTCTGGGGATTCCAGCTTCCAATGTAACAATCATTGATCATAGGTAACACATTTTCATTTACAACATTATTTCATTGCAGTTTTAAAGGGAGGGGGGTGATGTTCACTTTAAAGTTGAGTGAGAGACTAAAAAGTCTTGAGGAATCTTAAAAAAGACCATATTAGATACTTTTGTTAGCTCTTAACATAAATCTAATCAATGCAGAAGACAATTCAAGGGTATAAAGGTGATCATAATCCCTATATTAAGCTCTGTTGATACAGCATGGAGAATAACTATAAAAACACTTGTTGGGGTCTGGCAGTGTGTTTGGGCAGCATGATCATATGCTCTGACACTTGTTGCAGTGTTATAGAGACAATTGTAAATTCTCTGCATTGCCTTTGGCAGTTTGTCTGTAGGTGAGTCTTTTCAGGGTTGGTGTGGAATTCTGTTGTGTTTATAATCTGGTTTAGTCCTGGCTAAAGACAAAAGTGAATTGCATTATTAAAGACAGTCCATAATAACATGTTAGTAAGGTTCCTTCAATTTAAGCCATGTAAAAGTTCTGTTTTTTCTAAGGTGTGATGTTGTTTTCTTTAGTTGGGTGTATATACAAAAGTAGGTGATAAAGCTGAGACTTCTTTCTTTTGGGATTAGTTCAGGAACTGTCTTCTGGGCAGGTGATTAAATGCTTTGAATCAGTGAAACTCGGAATTAACGTTGTAAAGGCCTCTTCAATTGTCCAATCAGTGTTTATGTAGGGTTCATAGGAGTTGAATTAGATACTGATTGCTAGGAAACACAGTACAAGTGATTGTTTCAATTATAAACAGCCATTATACAATCCATACAGAGTATATCTATTTGTGAAGAAATAGCTTTAACAGAAAGATACTGATTTGAAGCCACACCAACTAGGAAAGTTAGAGTTTAAAAAAATCTGGCTCTAGGCAGGCCCTTTTCCCATGAACATATTTTCCCTTGAGCTAAGGCAACAGAAACTACAGTCCAGTGAGTTCTTTGCTTTTTTTAGCTTTAGGTTTCTCTCCAAGTTTTCAGCTCACTTACAAAAACAGCATAGGAGTTGTTTGCCTTTGGAATGAAAAGAGATGTTTCCATTCACTTCTCATGAACTGGTTTTGGATAACTTCAAGTTTTGTAGTACAATCATATGACAACGCCCAAAATATTTTGGGGAGGGATAAGGAAAAAAGCCGCTAAGCTTTACTAAGCATAAAGACTGCTCAATGCACCATGCAGAAGTGCACTAGCCTTTCATCCACTAACCTTAGTATGTGATGTGAGTGGACTGCTCAGTCACCCCCTTCTACACACTGCTCTTTGCCAGTAATGCTTTGGTTTGCTCTATAGGAAGGTGAGGCCGTTCAGAGAAGTTGCTTGGATCATGCCTCTTTGTTAGTTTCATTGCTATTATTACACATATTTATACATGATTTCCCCTAGTGAATACACTGCCTGAAAAGACAGATCCGTCCCATTGTCCAGAGCTCCAGGGCATAGACCAGAATGTACACCACTGTTCAAAGAAACAGGTTTTGGTTTGAGGTCTCTATCTCTGAGGTTAGAGTGCTATGAGATAAACAGCAAATCATCTTTGTTGTGCATTCAGAGAGAAACTGAAGTTCTTGCTGAATTTTGCTCAGAGCTTGTTTGCACAGTGAAGTCAAGTGTGTTTACAGTGCATTATTTACTCTGCAGTAACTCGCCAGCTGGATGCTCTTTAGGAAAAACATCTGTGGATCAGGTGTTAGCAAAATGGTAAAGGATCAGGAATTATTTTTAGATGACGCTGACTTCTTAGAGTAGCTGATTTTTAAAGTATTGTTTCCCAGCAGTTTAGACAAAGCACTGGGATTCAGGGTTCTTGAAACTTGCTCAAAATCCCTGGATTCCTTAAGGTCAGTACCTTTCCTATGCCTCTGTTGTGACTTCTCTAATTTATATATCATACAAAAATATTTGCCAGTATGGCATCATGTGAAACTTGCTAAATTAGCAAGTTATCTACCACTAGATTTCCATGTAAATTCATGTCTATGGAATGCATTTCACGAGGTTGTTCCTCTTCAGTATCTTGTCTTTTGTAGGCACTGTTTAAGGTCAGAGTTCTTTAGCGTTTTTTGTTCCCTTCCTAATTCATCAAAAGATAATTTTCCACCAATGTAAAGAACTAGTATATTGCTTTAGGACTGCTGCTGGCATGCTGCCCATCTAACATTTCTTCTACAAACACTGAATGCTTTACATTATCCAAGCTGCAGATTTGTATTTTGCTAAGGAAAGCCCAAAGGATTGCTAGGTCTGGATCTGCTCCAGCCATTGTAGTGTGGAGCTGAGTCATGCTGCTTCTTCTTTCTTTGTATGATCTACAAGTGAGTGAGTAGAATTTTCAAGGTGTAAAAGGGGAAATACACGTAAAAAGCCAGGTGATTGACTTGCTCTGTAATGTCACTTGACCAGGCAGGTATAAAATCAACATGACATTTTAAATTGCCTGTGAACTTGTAAGGAGAAAGCTTCTGTCAGTCAGCCTATGATGAAATCTGTGTTAAAGATCAAATCCTTATTAAGCAGTCCCCTGCCTTAAACAGTGTCTCTCAAGTACAACCAGGATTTTTAGGGCAGGACTAGCTCAGTCCCTATCAGACAACTGTTTTGCACTGATTCTTTAGCAGGTGTTTGATGTTGTCACCGTGTTTACCTCAATTAAAGACAACTAAAATCTTCTGCACAAATATAGTCACAAACTGCACCTATGTTTCAACCCTAGAGACTTGAGTCTCCTGCAGGAAAGTTCTTCACTGTAGAAGGCATGTCCAAGAGTGGAAAGGGACATGCATTGCTGTGCAGCACCCGGTTACTGTAGGTGAGCAGATGGGCATGCAGGCACCATGCTCCAGACTATTTTAGAGTAGAGCACTTGACTGTTCCTACTTGATACCTGTAGGAATTCTTCCTACTGTTCCCTTGTACTTGTGAATAGTACATGTCAGGCACCACATTAGCAGAGGTGTCCCCTGAGCTGGCATGTAATTATCATAGCTCCAACACTGCGCTGACTGAACAGCTGCTTGTAAGGGAGACAAAGTTGTGTTACCATTCCCACATGAGGCTTAATGCTTAGGGGAACCCAGCTCAGAACTAGGACCTGCATTGTTCAAAGTTAATTTCTGTACTGAAACACTTATTTCCCCTGCTGGGTGAGGGAGGAGTAGCAAGAGAGTGAGGTCAGAAACTCATGCAAGATAAAAGTCACTTCATTGATTATATAAATGGCAATGTCAACTCTGTGATTCTGGTGTGTTTTTATCATCTTATGTGCTGCAGCAGTGGACATCCTTGTAACTGTAAAAACAAGAGATCATTTGGTTTATCCTACTTACAATACCAGCTTAATTTTCACAGTGTGGTATAGTTCTACAGATCTTCAGTGAAGGGAAAATGAACATAGCTAACGTACATGCCTGTAATGCAAACACAGACTAACGCAACTGAAAAATTTGCTACAGTGGTATGTCTAAAATAATAGATAGATTCTGGACATTTCTGTGGTGGCAGAAGGGTCTAATGTATAAAGCATTTGGCTACTCTGCAAACAAAAAGGGACATCCATTTTCACCAAAAGTTGTTTTTCTTTAGGCATGTGTTAGACTTTGCTGCCAGATTTAGCTTGATTGCTAAATTGCTCTGGTGATGTATGAGCAAATGATCCACTTAAAAGACATGAGTACTTGCTGAGCAGGGCAGAGCTCCCTCGTCTTGAGAAGAGCAAATCTGAGTAACTGATTTGCACTTAAGATGTGCAGGAAAGACAAGATTCAGCTTAGCAAAAAAGAGCTTGTAAACAAGTAAAAAGTGAGTCCTGCATTATCATAAAACATAGAGATGTTTTCTCGTCAGAATATACAGAAAAGAATACTTGAGTAACAATTTGAAGAGAAAATATGTTCACCAAAGAGCCGCTTTGTATGCTGTTCTTTGAGGTACACTGCTACATGTTTTCTTGGTTGTTGCTGTATCTGGTCTTGAGAACATTGTGAAATGAAAGTGTTCTAGTCTCCAAAGCCAGTTATCAGATCACGAGTTATTGCCATGGTTTTGGACTTGTGAATGTACTTTTCTGGAAACTTACTCATAGTTGGGAAGGCTCTTTGTAAGTAAGTAATCTGTGAATACCTGCTCCTGATCTAGAAAGCACTCTCACAGTGTGTGGAAGACCAGGAATTAATATCTAATTGATCTAACTAAGATCAATTAGACTAAGAGTTAGTTAAGCTCCCATTAACACTGGGCACGCGTGCCAATGCTCTGGCTGTCTACTAGTCTGTAAATTACACATAAACAGGAGATGTTTTCTAAGCTGTTTTCACTTGAAGAGACCAAGCAAAAAGGAAGCCCAAATTGTTCTCTAATATCTGGTTTGGGTTCATGGAAGGATAAATATCAGGCATTTTACTGCAGCTTCTGAAGCTTTTGTGCATGGTTGTACTGGACAGAAAGTAAAACTGATTATTTGCATCTTTAATATGACAGAAAATACTTGGCCCAAGTTTGCACTGCAAAGAAAATAAAAGCTGAGATTTGTGTAAACTGGAAGATTTTCCTTTCACAGTACAAAGGCTCAGTGCAAATAATGTTACATCTGCTTCCAAGTTTCCATGGAAATGGCACTCCATTTGCTTTTGTATTATTATTTCATTTAAGTCCAAAAGGGCTCTGATTAGACAATGCACAGGACAGGGAGGACATCTGCTCATGAAGAATTACAGGCTCTCTGCAGGGTTTTTATGAAGCTGCAGAAAGGCTCAAATACTATTTCTCCGCTCCCCCCCCCCAGTAATTCTTTGTTGTTGGGTTTGATTTTTCCCCTACAAGGTAAATGGGCCTTATTGCACTTCCTCCTGTTTAACTCCTAATGAACTTCCTTCCATGAGCACCCCATGTCAGAGAACTGTCTACAAGGTCATGGGAAAAATATATCCTTAAATAAATAGTGTGTGTGTCTGTGATGATCAAAAAGATATAAAAAAAAACCCTCA